CTCACCAATTTATGTAAACACTGCTTCTACAACTCAACAGTACGAGTCAGCTAATTTTATCGTGAATCCAAGTGCATCTAAGCCAAGTCACAAGAGAAAAAGAGGTCAACAAGGAAAAACTATTTCAATCGGAGACACCGAACAATCGAAAGACGGAACAACGTGGAGAGGAATCAGGTCCTACGTCGTAAGCAAAAAGGAACGTGAGGAACAATTGTGTGGTAAGTGCTTGGCATCTAATAATCAACGACAGCATGTTACGTCATATAAAAGAATGCACTATTGCAGAAGCACATCGATGTTTGAAAAATGACACATGGACTATAACTTTGGAAGAACTGGAGGCTGTCTTGCTATTATGTACGCAAGAGGAGTCTACGGCGCCAAAAATTTCCCAACCAACAGCTTGTGGTCAACAGTATGGGGTCCTCAGTTTTTTAGGCAAACTATTTGCTCTAGCCTCTGTAGTTTGGAATGGATTTATAGAAAATAGTGGTGCATGTTACAAACCGGGAATAAACCTTACTGTGGACGAACAACTACTGCCTTCTAAAGCCAGGTGCCCGTTCACACAGTACATATCAAATAAGCCGGATAAGTTTGGCATACAATTTTGGCTATTGACATGCGTGGAATCAAAATATATTGTAAATGGTTACCCTTATACTGGCACTGATCATCTACGCAAGAATGATACAAGTGTTGGTGAACATGTTGTTTTTGCGGTTAATGGAAAATCAACTGGGAAAGGGCAAAAATGTTACGACAGATAACTACTTTACATCGTTAAAATTGGCCAAGGCATTGCAAAAAAAAAATCAATAAGTCTTGTGGGTACTTTGAATCGCAACAAAAAGGAAGTTCCTCTAAGCGTAAAGAGTAAAAATGGAGAATTATATGTTACCCATATATTCCAGAGCGACGAAACGATAACACTTACTGCATACCAAGGAAAGAGTCACAAAAATGTGCTTTTGTTAAGCTCATTATATCAATCAGTGGATATTGCTGTCGATGGAAAAAAACTTCCTCAAACAGTAAGTTTTTATAATAAAACAAAATACGGGGTTGATGTAGTGTATACAAAAGTTGCTTTAAGACGATGGCCAATGCACGTGTTTTATAACATTCTTGACTTAAGAGCAATAAATGCATGGATTATTTATAAAGAAGTTACTAGAAGTAAAATCAGTCGTCGTAAGTTTATTCTTCAGCTGTGTGAAGAATTACGGGCTCCATACCTTGCCTCCCAAAATCTGGTACTATACCCAGCACCACCGGATTTACCAACCACCAGCACTGTTACTAGCCAAAAAAGAAAAAAATGCCAGTTAAAAATGTTTTGTAAAGGAAATCATACTTCCAATGAGTGCCATGGCTGTAACAAGGCAATGTGTGGCAAATGCCAACTGTATGGTGTTCCAAATGTTTAAAATGAAACTAAAAAAATAAATCAAATTCTATCGTCAAGAGTTTAAGTATATATAATTTCTTAAAACTGTTTATTTTTATTTTTTGTTTATTCCCAAATAAATAGTTAATTCTAAACTTGGTTTTTATTGATTTAGGAACTTGGGGCCAAAATGATCCCTTCGGGCTTTCTAGGTAGGTATGCTAAGCCCGACTTTCTAGTGTTAAACCATCCTGCTATCCCAACCACTGCATTTCATAGATTTTTTCTGTATTTTTATGTTTTTAATTAACATTTTAACTAGGTTGCACAAAACAAAAAATGTTAAACTTCTTATCTACTCAGTACTTGACACAACACATGTATTTGTTTAAAAAACAGAACTCATACCTTCATACTATTGTTGTAAATATCTAAATTCAGAACTAATTAAACAATCTTAACGTTTTTTTTTAACTCGTCTTTTGCTGAACTTTCGATATAAGTAAAAGTGTAAATTGAAAATTTTAAAGGTTATTCTATTTGTTTATCAGCTTAAAAATTGTACATTTGTTTAAAAAATTCCCTATAAGTAGATGTTATAAGCGAATTCTAACTCACTTTGCAAGATGGTGGCCGTGACATCAAGCTTACGTATCCTAGTGTCTCGAGGCCACGCCTCTTGACCAACGGTGGCATAGGAACGATCTCGTGAGCAATAGTGACATGTAAACGCACCCATGGTGACATGTAAACACCCACTTAAGACATGGGATAAAAATAAAGAACAGTGACAACCGAAAAGAAGACGAGAAGAGAAATTAACATGACATACGCCATTACAGCCAAAAAGATGAATTGATATGACAGACGCGATAGCCGACCAAAAGAAGACGAATTAACATGACAGACGCCATGACAGCCGAAAAGAAGACGAATTGACACGACACAACTTGACTCGACCCTAGAGCAAGTAGACAGTTGATTAGTAAACAACTAAAAGTTCGTTCGATGTTCGTTTTGTAAAAGTTTGCAAAAACACCATTGAATTTACCAGTAAGTCCAACCTTAGTTTAACTTAAGCCTATACAATGTTTTGATTGTTTATTGAACCATTTATAATTTAATTATTTTTTTGCACCAATGAGTTAAAGTTGTTTATCTAACCAAGACTATTGAAGGAGCCATCATCATCATCATCATCGATCAGCCCTGAGTTGTCCATTGTTGAACTGGGCAGAAGAAGCATAGGCCGACGACGTGTATCCTGGCTAAACAATTTGAGGCAGTGGTACAATTGTAACTCTGTTGAGCTGTTTAGAGCAGCAGTGTCAAAGGTGAAGATAGCCGTGATGATAGCCAACCTTCTTAAAGGAGACGGCACTTAAAGAAGAAGAAGAAGAACATAGGCCTCCTCTAGATTTTTCTATCTGCTTCTGTTCTGCGCCTCTGCTATCCAATTGGTCACGATTCTTTTGAGGTCGTCGGTCCATCGCGTTGGGGGTCTTCATCGGCTTCGCTTGTCAGCCCGTGTTCTCCACTCAAGCCTTTTTTTGTCCAACTGTCGTCTTTCATTCTTGCAACATGTCCTGCCCATCTCCATTTTTGACCTTGTAATATGTTCAATATACAATATGTCTACGAACTTCCTCGTTTCTTATTCTATTTCTTAAGCTTATTCCAAGCATTGATCTCTCCATCTTTCGTTGAGTCCTTCTCAATTTTTCGGCTGATGTTAGAGCTTTTTGTGAGAGTTAAGGTTTCTGCTCTGTATGTGAGGACTGGTAGAAACGCACTGGTTAAAAGCTTTTCTTTTTAAATGGATCGGTACATTTGTTTTAAATACGACTCTCATTTTTCCGATTGCAGCCCAACCCAGCCCTATTCTTCTGAGTAGCTCGCAGGTTTGGTTATCTCGCGTTAACCTTATTTCGTGACCCAAATACACATATTTTTCCACAAGTTCTATGGGCGACTTTTCGATTTCTATTAGCTCATTGGGGACGAGATTGGTCATTATTTTTGTTTTTCCATAGTTAATTTTTAAACCGACTTTCTGGGTTACTTGCTGTAGTTGTTGTAGCATAACTCTGGCTTCTCCTAAGTTGCCTGTTATGAGAACAATATCATCGGCATATCTGAGATGATTGAATATCTTTCCATCCATGCTAATACCCTTTGATTCCCACTCTAGCCGTTTAAATGCGTACTCTATAACTGTTATAAATAGTTTTGGCAACAAGATATCTCCCTGCCGCACCCCTCTGCCAATTTTATCTTCTCAGTCATGCAATGGAGGTTAACGCTTGTTGTCGCATTTTCCTATATATTCGAATAATATTTGCATACCTGTGATCTATTCTGCATTCTGATAGTGCTTTTAAGATAGCAACTGTTTCGACTGTGTCAAATGCTTTGTGGAAGTCGACAAATATAAGAGCAAGGGGTCTGTTATATTCGATAGACTTTTCAACTAGTTTTAAGGCATTACAAATGGTCGTTTGTTCCGTGTCCCGCTCGAAATCCGGCCTGTTCTTCTGATTGATAGAAATCGAGTTTTGCGTCTAATCTGTTTGTCAGTATTCGTATTCGAATACTGACAAACAGAAGGATTCATAGTAGATATTAAAATTTATAATTATTAGTTATTCGTAATAGACCATCACTTAATTTGTAACACCGTGGATCATGTAGTTAACGAAGAGAAAATGTATATTTAAGATAACCTCATAGAAAAATCTATAAAACTAATAATAATTTTTTCAAAACTTTCATGATTTTCTTCTGACTTTTCTATTTGTGCATAACAACTTGGAATCTTATGTGGTACAGTATCGGTTTCATTAATTGAGCAGTTGTTTGGTAAGGAATTATTTATAAAAAATTGTACAAAAATCAATCTCTTTGATATAGATTGTTCTAGTAATTGGCCACAACGGCTCTGACTGGGTCTACAACCAGCTTGCTCCGCAGGTAGTTTCTGTACGATTCTGTGAGCGTTTCTATTATAAATATACTTCTCTAAAAGAAAGACACAGTTTCTTTATAGTTCAGTAAAGATATGGGTCCGATACATAACTTGTCTTCGGACATATAGCGAAAAGAACTATAAAAACTGATCGTCAAGGATAAAATTTATGACAAACGACCGCAAAGAAGGTCTCCCACATATTGGTTGGATGAACTGAGAACAGGATGGAGAATGACGATCCAAGTAATGGAGAAATGGTGTCACTATACTCTTCCGAGAATCAATAGATATAAGAAAAGAAGGTGAAAACTGTCTCACTCCTCGTCGGGTTTGTATACCTTCGGATGTTGTGTGCTCTATTTCAATTGTTGCCTGTTTATTCTGTTGACTGTTGTTGTCTGTTTATTCAGAACATTGTTGAATATATTCTTGTTGACTATTTATTCAGAATATTGTATCAGCACGAAAGTGGTATCGTAACTGAATTAAAAGTACATTATGTACGGATTGACTGATTATAGACACAACACAGAACATAATACCTAGTAAGAAAGAAGCCTTTTTAAGAAACAAAATAAAAATCCGGTAAGGTTTTGTAATGTCACTCTCTTTAAACACCTATAAACATTTCTTACTTACCAATTTAACAGTGTTGCCCGCTTTCTTGAGCGCATCGACGGCCATAGCGTGTGGTACGTCAACGACGGGTACATCGTTGACAGACAGAATGGAATCGTTGACCCTCAATCTGCCATCGCTAGATGCCGCCCCTCCGGGTATTAACTTGGTGATGTAGATGGCGGTGTCGTCGCCGATGTGAGGATTGTCGGTGCCTCCAGCAATGCTGAAGCCGAGGCCTGCTCCTCCTCGTTCGAGGATGATTTCTTCGTATTCCCATTCATCATCACCGTTTACCTTGAACAAAATACAAAAACTTTAAGATGTATTCTAAGGATAATATAAAAATTGCCGTTGTTTAAAAATATTGTTTTTTATACTTAGTGAAATCATCAATTCTTTGAGATGCAAAATTAATGTTTAAGGACAAAAGTATGATCCGACCGGTAGATTCTAAATACTGTAGTTGTCGTAGTTGGTGACAGGCAGTGTCTTGTCGAAATCCTTTATCGATTGAATAGTTTTATCCGACTTTTATTCTACATTCATTGTCTTCGTAAAGTGATTTTACGGCATTTATGTAGGTTTTATCTTCTTGATTGGGACACTATTAACAGAGGTTTTGCAGTCTCAAACAGAAGAAGTGTCAGACCTGATGCTACAAGCTCTAGGCATTGGGCACCAGATTTATGTGAGAAAAGGCCAAGAACAACCTTCAACCTATTTAAATGACATTGTAAGAGTAAACCAACGAACAAATCAGTCAGTATATAGTCTATGGCCAGATCATCCTCCGGAGATAAAGAATTCTCTTGTTATCGACCTTCGCTTACCCTTTTCCATCTTTGTGTTGTACCTGTTCCTTGAGTACCCGCCAAGAAAAAAGGCTGATAAGAGAAAGGGTAAAACCCTAGTAATAACATTATTTCGATATAAAACTGAGTTAGAAATTGAAGAAAAAAAAAAGGAGACGACTAAAGAGCAAGAAAAATTCAAGAAAATCAAAGAGAGGGCTAAGGAACCCCTCTTCAAAATTACAAAAAAAAAGAAATGGAAAAGAACAAGAAAATCTAAAGGAATGTTGAATCCAAATGTTAAAAGTCAAAATATAGAAAAGTGTAATAAACCATCAGCAAGCAGCCAAGAATACATGTCGTCATCGCTTAAAAATCCTAGTCCTAAATAAAAGATCTTCTTTCCAATTTTGAGAATAAAACATAAAAACATAAAAGATTTTTAAATCTCTGACTACTGAAGATATTGTTCTTTGAAGAGTAAATCTTGCTTTGCAGTTTAATGGCTAGTTAATTATACTTTTTAGTTAATTTAGTAACAAAAAAAAATATTGTAAACCTATTCCGTTTTGGCGCAACCTAACTGATATTAAACCAACAACCGCTGCAGAGAGTTCAGAGATTCAAATACCTTGGATGTTGGGATTACCCAAAATCTAGATCCATCCTTCGAAATTCGATGTAGAATTGAACAGGCAAGAAACTCATTTCAAAAATTCAAGCCTCTATTATCCAATAAACTCATTAAATTTGGAAATCTGTGAAAGTTTACAAGATGTTACGTGTGATCTGTACTTTTGTATGGATGTGAAACTTGGACTTTTAACGCCGATATTCATGAATAAAATCGAGGCGTTTGAGATGTGGTTTGTACCGAAGGATACTAAAAATTCCATGGACTAGCAGATACCAGAACGAAGAAGATCTTCGAAGAATGGGACAATCAACAAACCTCTAATTAAATATTATTAAGAGGCGTAAACTAGAATATCTTGGACATATAATCAGAGGACCAAGATATGAGTTCCTTCGGCTAATTCTCAACGGTAAATCGAAGGAAAGAAATGGATAGGACGGAAGAAACTCTCTTGGTTGAGGAATTTGCGGCATGGACTGGTTTGACAGAGGACCAATTGCTACACGTAGCGCAAGACCGAGATCAGTATAACAATATTATAAGCATGGTAGACGCCGACGTTCCGTAGGATATGGCACTCTAAGAAAAAGATTCTGTTTTGTTCAACACTGGTATGCTAAAACGGGATATGTAGGAATATATTTTTTTTACTATTTTCCAGTAATTAAAAATAGCTAAAACTATGTTTTGTGTGTCCTTCTTTCTTCTTTTCTTTTATTTGGTTTTCTATCTTTGCTGTCCACCAATACGGTTTTTTGTTTTTATAATTTATCTGATCATTTTGCCTTCCAATGGATTTTTCTGCTGCTAGGTGTATTAATTTGTTATTCCTTGTAAATCTTCCGTTCTTGATTCTAGTCTCAATTTATAAGGAAAAGAAGTCGACATCTGTAGGGTACCTTTTTGATTTTATGTTTTCACCCTTATTACATTTCATTATGTGTATAGTTGATCTTATCAATTGGTGGTCTGATCCACAGGTAATTTGATTGACTGATCATTGATCAATTACATTACATTGTTCTATTATTGATTTTGATTGAAAACTGGTTTTTCATATGTATATTTATATGACTTACGTTTTAAATGTGTACAAATGCTATGTTTAAGATTTGTCTACAAGTCAAAATCATTACCTAACCAAAAATTCCTTTAAAATTCTGTACATTATTAAATTTAACGAAAGTTGTGATGTAATCATCAAATTTCCAAAAAAAAAGATATAGATCTAAAACAATATTTTGACTATTCATAGTATTCAAAACAACGTTTGTGATTTATTGTAATGTATTGTTCTCATTCGAATATAATAGAAATAAAAATTTACAACATACTACTAATTACGCGATAATTGATTTACTACTAAGCCTACACTAGGTTTGTCAACAATGGTCCAAATTTAAACACTAAACATGTTTGGATTTTAAATTTAAAACTTGAGTGTAAAATGGACAGGGCGTTTTAGCATTTGGCATTCCAAATGAGTTTATTTAAGTCCAATCAATAGAATAAACATTGGAAATAGAATAATATTGTATAACGCTTTCAACATGACAAAATCTAAACAATTAACAATTTGATTGAGGTTATAAATGGTTGGCTGATAATGTACATTAAATCAATGGGTATCGATTAGCTGGCAGGTGTATAGTTGTTAATAAAAGTACACAGAAAACGAATTTTAAATTTCAATAATACAATTTTATTCAATGTTCAGCCCTATTTACCGCTTAGAGGTGTTGAATATAAAATCTAAAGTTTAAATATACTGTGTAAGTCAACAAATTGGAATACATTTTTTACACGAGTAAAAATTTCAAACTATGCTGAAGCCATTTCTTGTTGCATCTTAAAGCAATTACTATTTTAATGGGAATAAGCTACAATTAAAGTTTAAAATGAGTTTATTGAAGTTTCAACTTCCATTCATTGCGTTTTAATATGTTTATTTTGAGAACAATTTTCGAAGTGGAAATTAAAAAGTCAATAAACTTATTTTTAACTTAAATAATGGCTTATTCCCAATAAAATAGTAATTATTTCTGTAGTAATATCAGGAATGTAGGTAAAAATATCAAAGATAGCAAACAGTATAGTGAAGTATCATACCGTGAAGACAAACAGATTCCTCAACATAAGGATGAACGTCAAAAAAAACCAAATATATGACCTTCAGTAAGAATCCAATTCATGATCACCAGTATCACAATAAACGGTACCCAACTTGAAAAAGTAAGCGAATACAAATACTTGGGAGAAACAGTGAAACTCATTCATGAAACAGGTGACCAAAATCACTAGATAAAAAGACGTATTGAAAATTGCCAAGTTCTACCTTATATAAAAATGAAAAAAATATTTTGTAATCGTGATATAGTATTCATCAACGAACTAGAATGGTAAAATGTAATGGATTCAGTAACTTTTGTCTTTACGTATGTTAGGCATGACTCATAAACACAGTAATATTGAAAAATCATGAAAGCTTTGAGATGTGGTTCTACCGCCGTATACTAAGAATAATGTTGGTGGATAGAAATCAAATGAAGAGGTAATACGCAGAATAAATAACGATCCAGAAGTTATTATGAATATAAAAAAGAGAAAACTTGAATACTTGGCAACCCTGATGAAGAGGACAAAAGTACACGTTCCTACAAAAATAAATGCAAGGAAAGATCCAAGGACGCAGAAATCCAGGCCGTAGAAAGAAAGTCCTGGATGAGAAATTTAAGAGAGTGGATTGCTGTACCACTAACAATTATTCAAAACAGCAGTTAATAAATTAGAATCGCCCTAAAATGATATCCAATCCCCATAGGAGAAGGGTAAAAAAAGAAGAAAGATAATAACAAAAATTTCAAAAAACTACTAGAAGAATATAACCTTGAAGTCATGTCCATAGGAGTGGGCTATCATGAAATAGTATCCCTAAGAATCCACTCTTGTGGTATGTATTAGAGAGAGTGATAAAATATAAAATATCTGGAGCTTACATCAAACACATAATTAGTTACCATATCAGAGATCCGGGTACTAATAGAAATGGCAAGGGCAAGCGTTCTTAAAATTCCAAAATAACAATTTTACTGTGACAAAAATCTGAATAATGCCTGAGACTGAGGATTGTTGAATGATATACGTCTGGTCGCAATATTGTACGGGGGTAAGAAACATGGACAACTAAAAGCGCAAATAGTTTAAAAATATGAAGTGCCTTTGGACTTTGGATATACCGAGAATGTTGAGAATCCCATGGACTGCCAGGGTCACCAATGAGGAAGTGCTGAGAAGAATGGGTCGAGTCAAAAAAATTGTTGAGAACGATAAAAGTACGCAAGACTGCATACCTTGGACACATACTAAGAAATAATAAATATAGTCTTCTGCAGGTCATCATGCAGGGTAGAGTCGATGGCAAAAAGGGAATAGGTAGAAAGAGGAAGTCATGGCTGCGAAATATTCGAGACTGGACAAACATGACTGTAGACGAATTATTCCACGTTGCAAAAGACAGAGAAGCTTTTAAAAATGTGGTCGCCAACCTCCGTTAATGGGGACGGCATAGGAAGAAGGTATGTTTTATGAGTATAATTTTCAGAGGGGTAGCAGGTTTCTTGTTCACATATTTTTTGTTATTTTCTTGTCACATTTATTTATTTAGGGATTTTCGAGGGCATTTTTTATGTACTTACCTATATTATTTTAGTGGAAATAAATAAATTTTATTTATTGACATAATATTACTTCTTGGTAAATGGGAAATTTTATTCTATTTCAGAAAGTACTTTTTGTCGATGAAGACGACAATAGAGATGAAACACCTTTATCTTTACCAGAAAATGAAGAATTTATAGGTATTGGCA